CCCCTCCTCCTCCTCCCCCTCCTCCTCCTCCTCCTCCCCCTCCTCCTCCTCCTCCTCTCCTCCTCCTCCCTCTCCTCCTCCCCTCCTCCTCCTCCTTCTCCTCCTCCTCCTCCTCCTCCGCCTCCTCCTGGTCACCTGGTCCCCTCCGCCCTCCCTTCACTCTCTGCTGCTCTTGCTAATGCTTGGCGCTCTGCCGCTGTCACTATGAAAGACGTCTGGGGACCGCTCCTGAGCAAGCTGCGGAGTGCGGCCGACCCTGTCAGTGGTGCAGTATATCAAATTCCTCTCGCTGGCCTCGTGCGTGGAGAATGGTGCGCACCGTGCTGGCATACGAAATCGTCCATTGTCCAACTCTACTCCTGCCACACGAACAGCCGGGCAGAAATTCCATGCCCAGGTAATTTCTCATCGCCGCTGCGATGACTTTATTCTCGTCTTCGTGAGGCCTCCCCTCTCGCTCATCCTCCTCTCACCTCGCAGCAATCAGCACGTGCTCAGAGCCGTGGTCGTGTCGCCTTGTCTGAGGCCTCCCTGGAAGGTCGACGGCCTAAGCCGCAGGGTGACTTCTATCGGACGTTGGTCTCTCAGGCCTTCCCGATCGGATGAATTGGGCGTCTCTTGCGGTCGTGGTTCGGGATCCTCCTCCCCCGACGTATGCGTGAGCGCTGGGATCTGGTTCGAGAAATCCTGGTGCGGGCCCCGCTGGGTGTTCCCTGGCCTTGCATCAAGACCGTCTCGGGAGGTTTGACCACCACGGACCGAATGCACGTTACAGACGATCAATGGACATGTGTTTTCGGCTGCTCCCATCCCGATCGCATCTCTCACTGCCTCTGCTGTCCTCGGCTTGTCCATCTCGTCTGCCGTCCTCGTGCTATCTTCCCTCACGGCCTCATCCTCCGCCTCGGCCTGGGGCTCACTCGCGAAAACGCTGTCTTGGCCACTGCTTTCAGCTTCTACACCTTCATATGGCTACAGATGTGGCAAAGCGTCAGCATGGCTCGCCCCCCTCTGTCCCCGAACAATTCGAAGTCATTCGGGTTGCCAAAGCCAAGATGCCTGAATCATAACTCTTAGCTGCCGCCGCCCGGCGCAGATCGGCCATATAGGTGGCTATCTGATGGGCGTGCCCTGCTGGTACTGGCGCTCCTCCTCCTCCTCCTCCTCCGCCCCAATTCCTCGTCGTCGTCGTCGTCGTCCTCCTCCTTCCTCCTCCTCCTCCGCCGCCTCCCCTCTCCCCTCCCTACCCTCCCTCCTCCCTGCTCCCTGCTTCCTGCTCCCTCGTCCACCACCTTTTCTCTCCCTCCTCCTCCTCCTCCTCCTCCTCCTTCCTCCTGCTCCTTCTCCTCCTCTTCCTCCTCCTCCTGCTCCTCCGTTCTCCTGCTCCTCCTCTTCCTCCCTTCGCCTTACATCCCTTCTCCTTATAGATAACTCCTCCCTGTCGCCCCCAGAGGCCAGTTTGTAGGGCGGGCCGGGCGTTTCGCCTGAGTCTTCCTCACCATTTATGTCTCTGAAGCTTAAAAAGTTTCACAGATGGATGGTGGGTGGTTTTCAACATGTGTCTCTCGCTTTAGCGCAGCGCACATTCGATTTAAACATTCGCAAGAGTTTCACAGATTGAGGGCGGGTCGTTTTCATCATGCGGCTCTCGCCTTAGCGCCGCGCACATTCGTTTTAAACATTTGCAAGAGTTTCACGGATTAAGGGCGGTTCCTTTTCTAAATGTGGCTTTCGCCTTAGCGCCGCGCACATCCGTTTTCAATTTTTACAAGTGTTTCACGGATTCCCATGGTCAGCGTACCAGAAATGGTGTTTTTGGAAGGATTCAGGATTATGCGGGTGCAACAGTTCTGTTACGTTGATTCGCGGTGTTGCAGTCCAAAACATGGCGCTCTGGCGCGATTCCGGATCGTCAAGACGCAGCAATCGTATTGATACGCGGCGTTGAAATCCCGAGAACTATGCTTTGGCTTTCTTCAGGATCTTCAAACGATTGTCTTCCAACAAGGCAGTTCTCTCAATGGCAATGAATCGTCGTGGGGGCCCATGGAGAGGGAGCTTGGGAGGGCTAATTCCAACATCGTTGATGACTCTTGGTTTTACGCTGGTCCTCCTTCTCCTCTTTCCTCCGCCTCCTCCTCCTCCTCCTCCGCTTCCGCCTCCGCCTCCTCCTCCTCCTACTCCTCCTCCCCCTCCTCCACTCTCCTCCCCTCCCTCCTCTCCCTCCTCCCTCCTCCCTCCTCCCTTCTCCGTGCTGCCTCCTCCGTGCTCCCTCCTCCCTCCTTCCTCCTTCCTCCTCTCTCCTCTCTCCTCCCTCCTCCTCCCTCCCTCCTCCCTCCTCCCTCGTCCCTCCTCGTTTCTTCGTCCTTCTCCCTCCTTTCCTCCCTCCTCTCTCCTCTCTCCTCCTTGATCCTCCTCCCTCCTCCCTCCTCTTCCCCCTCCTCCCTTCTCCTCCTCCTCCTCCTCCTCCTCCTCCTCCTCCTTCGCCTCCTCCATTCCTTTTCCTTATAACTCAGTTCTCCCTGTCGCACCGCGAGGCCAGTTTTTTAGGGCGGGCCTGGCGTTTCGCCTGGGACTTCCTCACCATCTGTAATTCTGAAGCAAAAATTGGCAACAGCTTCGCGGATTGAGGGCGGGTGGTTTTGAAGTTGTGGCTCTCGCCATAGCGTGGTGCACATTCGCTTGGCAAGCAATCCAGGGTTTCACGGATTGAGGGCGGGTTCAAACAGTGTCTCTCGCCTTAGCGCGGCGCACATTCGTTTGAAACATGTGCAAGAGTTTCCACGGCTTGAGGGCGACCCGTTTTCAAACTGTGGCTCTCGCTCTAACGCGGTGCACATTCGTTTTTAACTTTTGCAAGAGTTTCGCAGATGGAGGGCGGTTCCTTTTCAAGATGTGGCTCTCGCCTTAGCGCCGCGCACGTTCCTTTAAAACCAGTTGCAAGAGTTCCACGGGTTCCCACCATCAGCGTGCCAGAAGTGGTGTTTTGAAATGGTTCAGGATTTCGCGGGTGCAACAGTTGGGTTGGTTCGCTGTGTTGAAGTCCCAGGAGTGGCGTTCTGGCACGACTCAGGATCGCCAACACACAACAGTCAGGTTGATCCGTGGCGTTGGAATCCCAAGAACACTGTTTGGCACGCTTCAGGGTCTTCAAACGGTTGTCTTCCAACGAGGCAGTTCCCTCAATGGAAATGAGAACCTTTCTAGGGGCCTATGAAGAGGGAGCTTGGAGGGAGGGTTTATTACAACATCGTTGGTGACCCTTGGGTTTACAGTGGTACTCCTCCTCCTCATCTTCCTCCTCCTCCCTCCTCCCTCCTCCTCCCTCCCGTTTTCCCTGCTCTTCCTCCTCCCCCCTCCCCCCCTCCTCCTTTTCCTCCTCCCTGCTCCCTGCTCCTTGCTCCCTGCTCCCTGCTCCGCCCTTTTTTGTTTCTCTCTCTCCCTCTCTCTCTTTCTCTCCCTTGTCCTCCTCCTCCTCCTCCTCCTCCTCGTCCTCCTCCTCCTCCTCCTCGCCTCCTCGCCCTCCTCCTCCTCCTCCTTCTCCTCCTCCGCCCCCCTCCCCCCTCCCTACTCTCCGTCATCCTACCTCACTCCTCCCTGCTCCCTGCTCCTCCTCTTTCTCTTTCTTTTTCTCCTCCTCCTCCTCCTCGTCGTCCTCCTCCTCCTCCTCCTCCTCCTCTCCCCTCCCTCCTCTCCCTCCTCCCTCCTCCCTCCTCCCTTTTCCGTTCTCCCTCCTCCCTCCCCTTCCTCCTCCTTTCTCCGTCCTCTGTCCTCCGTCATCCCTCCTCTGACCTCCCTCCCTCCTTCCTTCTCCCTCCTCCCTCCCCTCTGCCCTCCTCCGTCTTCCCTCGTCCCTCCTCCCTTCTCCGTCCTCCCTCCTCCTATCCCTCCTCTCCGAGCTGGCTGGATCGGAAGCACTGGCGTGGGACGGGGGTGCTGCGACCGGGGTCCGTCTGTCCTGGCGCGCCTTCTGTGCCCTGTCTCCCTGATGAAAGCTGTGCGTAGCCCGCCTAGCTTTTAGCGGAAGAGGTTCGCTCTCGCGCCGCCGACCAAAAATTGTCTTGGCGCCGCCTCTTGCTCCCCATCCCTGCTGCCCTCAGTCTGCCCCTGGCCCTCGCCCGCTGGTCATCTCCGAGTCGCGGCGAGGGCGAGGAGCAGTGACGGCGCCGAGGCACAGCTCTCCTCCCCCCCACCTCTCCCCTGCTTCCCCTCCTTCTCCTTCTCCTCCCTCCCTCCCTCCCTTCCTCCCTCCCTCCCTCGAGGTCCCTGTGGGTCTGAGCTGGGATGGGCTGGGCTGGGCTGGACCGAGGCGTCTGGGAACCATCGTCGCTGCCAGGGCACCTCAGGTCAGGGATCGGCCCAACTCTCTAGTGAGGGCTCCCCCTGGGGCCTCGGGCCCAGGTGGCGCCCTGGGCGGGGCCTGTCTCGTTGCTCTGATCCCTTCCCCCCGTGCCGAGGTAACTTCTTATCGCCGCTCTGTCCTGTTTCCACGTTCTTGCAGCGTGCGAACGGACGGAGACCATGCGGCAGGCCTATTGGCGCGCTCGCCGAGCGGACGCTCCGCCTGAGCGGGAGGCCTTCACAAGGGCGATACTGAGCACGCGACCGGGGGACGCTGGCTACGCAGAGGCGGCCGCGCTGGCGAGTTTCGTAGAGAAGGAGGAGGCGTCATTCTGGACCAGGCCACCGGGAGCCGAGTAGTGTAAATCTCTGCTTCTCCTGGGGCGACCCCTTCTCCCTCCGTTCTCTCAGTCTCGCAGCTGCGTCCTCTGCTGACACGAGGCGGCTGGGAGTACGGGCATGGGTCCCTGTGGGAGGGAGTCGCCGTGAGGCCCCCCTCCCCGGGCCTTCCCCTCTTCTCCATCGCGTTCGCTTCCAGGGCCAAGGAGGGGCTCCTCCTCCGCGGTCCTAGGAGAAACGCGGGGCCAGGCTCAGTCGGGCGTCCCTTGGTCCGCCCCCTGTCCTCCCCCTCCTCTTCCTCTGGCCCCGCAGGCGGTGTCGTTCCTTCCCCTGAGCGGGCGCTGTGGGGTCGCGGCAGTCGCCGTCCTCAGGCCCTGCTGCCCTCTGCTTAAGGGGCCGTGCCCGCGCCCCCACACTGCCGCCTTGCTGGGAGGACACCAACCAGCCAACCAACCAACCTCCGCCCTCCTCTGTCCTCCCTCGCCCCTCTCCCCTTGTCCGTCCTCCCTCCTCTCCCTCCTCCTTCTCCTCCTCTTCCTCCTCCTCGTCCTCCTCCTCCTCCTCCCTCCTCTCTCCTCCCTTCTTGGTCCTCCCTCCTCCGTCCTCCGTCCTCCCTCCTCCGTCCTCCGTCCTCCGTCCTCTCTGCTCCCTCGTCCCTCCTACTTCCCTCCTTCCTCTGCCCATCTCCTTCCTACGTCCTTCCTCCTCCCTCCTCTCTCCTCCCTTCTACGTCCTCACTTCCTCCCTCCTCCCTCCCGCCCTCCCTCCCTCCGTCCCTCCCTCCCTCCTCCTTCTCCTCCTCCTCCTCCTCCTCCGGTGCACAGCCTGGGGTGCTACAGAGTCTATAGCACCTCGGCCTTCAGAAACCGATGTGGCTCGGGGCGCACCTTGCAACCGCTCTTAGCCATGCCCCGCGGACAAGGGGCCGAGGGGCGCAACAGGATCGCGACGATCCTGCGCGAGGACACGATAGGTCTTCCCATCGAGTCTGAATTCATACTTGTTGGCCAGGCGGGTGAGCACCTTCCCCCCGTGGCTAGAATCCTGAGGCGGACACGGGCCACCCGGGCTCGCAGCGCGAGCGGAGGCAAGCCACGCATAGCGCAGGCATCCGACCACGAGATGGCCTCCTCGCAGCTGGAGCCGAACAAGGGCATGCATCCTCGACCCCACTCCCAACTCAGCTTGCGCGGCAAGAGCCCGACTGACGACATCGTCGGGCGTGGGGTCGCTGACCAGCTGCGGGATGCGGAGCGGGCGGCTTCCCACGGTTGTGCCTCTCAGCGTGCCCGCAGTCCGCCAGCTCCTCCCCGAGACGCCCATAACCAAGATCGCTAAATCTTGAGGGCCCTCTTGCGGGCCTGCAACTGAGCGAGAGTGCCTTGGTCGAGACAGGCGAACACTGCAGCGCTCTTGGCCGCTTCGTCCGCCTCCGCGTTACCGTATCGGTTGCGTGCCGTGGTGCGTTCCAACTGGGGGTCGCCCATTGTCGCATGCTCCTTGATCTTGACAATGTCGACCCCCCAGTCGTCAACCAGCCTCCAAAACAGCCTCCAGAGGTGCGCGTGCATAGAGACACAAGCACAGGTGGCCTCACGGCCACGCTCCAGAAACCCTTCAGCCACGAAGGTCGAGTCAGTGAGTATGCGGACAGGCGGAGACGCAAAGCGCAAAGCTTGAATTACCAGCCTGAAGCTCAGCAGCATTGATGCATTGCATGGGATCCGTGACAGAGCCTACGATTGGGCGTGATGCATCCCCATCCAGCACTGGCCAGACTGGGACATTCAGCCTCGAAAGCGGAACCGTCAGTGTAGATGTCCCCTGAGGATTCGGAAAGGCTTCCTAACCCCCCAGCAGAGGGGAGTCCCAGTGGGCGGCCTTCTCAAGACAGGGAACGGAACTAACACCCTTCGGCGAAGAGCTTGGTAAGCTCTAAAGACGCGGCGGCAGCAGCGGCGGCGCCCGCCAAACAGGGTGGCTGTCCGTCTAAGCTGCTGAGCCGCGAGCAACAGCAATGTCTGTGCAGCGGCGTGCCCTAGCCGGCCGCCCACTGCTTCTTCTGGGGCCATTGTCCTCCCACGATGGTGCTGCGACGGCGCCCTTCTTGCTGTGGCACGCAAACAGGGTTAACCGCGCAGTGTGCGGTCAACCTACTCTTGTCACCCAGCAGAGCCTTCATGGGGGCCGAGGAACACGCCATTGGAGAACTCATCCTGTCCGAGATGACCAGCAACATTGCAGGACTGCCAGGGCTCAGCTCAACCGCTCTGATCACCAGCTCCTGGATGGTGTTGGGGCAGAAGTCGGACGGGTTGACGTCGGCCCCATCGAGCCAGAACCAAGACGTAGCCGACGTAGCAGTGATGCCCGCGCGCCTGAGTCAGGCCCACGGAGCACAATAGGGGCCTTTGATGGATGACCAGGGGTGCTGCAACGTAGACAGGTGCCTGTGGGCCTCGCGGAGCCCGGAGTCCAGGGCCCCGAAGGGCATCCAAAGGTGCCAGGAAGCATGCACATCGGCCTTGACGGGCAACCACGTGGCACGGTAGGTGGGGTCCAGGCGGGGAACAGGCGCAAGCATCAGGGCCCGGGTCCGAGATTTTCCGTCCTGGCGACGGTCCTTTTTTAGAGCCTCCAGCTCCTTACAGTTAGTGCCCGTAACCGAAGCTCCAAACACAACCGAAGACTCCACGGCCGCTCGAGCCGTGTGCCCGAGCACGCGGCGACGAGGCTTGGAACCCTTGAGAAATCCCATGCGCACCATTCTAGGCCGCATGCTAGCAACGCGCCCCCGGGCGGTGCCGCGACTAGCCGCGATCCCAGATCCGAAATCAGCCCCGAGGTTACGCTCCGAACGGACAGGAAGGGGCTGGGGGCTCATAAGCATGGCGGCGATGGTGGCGCGCACGGCAGGGGCGTTGCTCAAGACTCGAGAGTTGTTAGTCGCGAGACGTAGATCGACGCTGTGCTTCCGACTGGCCAGGGGGTGACCAGCCGACGCGTTTTCGCCAGCAACTCTGCTGTCGGTGCCCCACAGCATGAGGCAACCGTCGTCAACGTTGACGGAAAGCTGAACAGCTGGATGAGACGCGTGGACGGCGTCCAAAGGGTTTAACATAATGAGTTGCAACATGCGCGTGGTAAGCATACATCCTGGTAAAATCGTTTGTTCAACATTCAAGAATGAAGCGACGTCGCCGCCGACATCAAAGATACGCGGGGCACGATATATTTACACCAGGAGCTGCAGCTGCCACATAGAAAACCCATCGCTGGAGCCACATGATGGTGCTGGACCAATTCGAAGGCCTTCCTACGACCGGGCGAAAGAGTGCCACAAACGCTGCTTTTCTGCGTGGAATGCTGGGGCCACGCCGCTTGAGTCCAAATGCACTTGTCGCTCGACTTCCCGTTGGTGGACCAGGAGAAACCGCGATAGTTGGCCGTTTGCCAGCTCCGAACCAGAGGACGTCTCAGGCGGCGCTGGCCACGCGCCAGGACGCGCAGCAGCCCCGCGGGCCGCGCCCCCCCAAGTTCTCTTGAGGATGAACGCGGTGCGATTCCACGTGGAAGGCCATTCTCTCTCGCGCTCTCTCTCTCTTCTCTCTCTCTCTCTCTCTCTCTCTCTCTCTCTCTCTCTCTCTCTCTCTCTCTCTCTCTCTCTCTCTCTCTCTCTCTCTCTCTCTCTCTCTCTCTCTCTCTCTCTCTCTCTCTCTCTCTCTCTCTCTCTCTCTCTCTCTCTCTCTCTCTCTCTCTCTCTCTCTCTCTCTCTCTCTCTCTCTTTTTTTTTTTTTTTTTTTTTTTTTTTTTTTTTTTTTTTTTTTTTTTTTTTTTTTTTTTTTTTCTCTCTCTCTCTCTCTCTCTCTCTCTTTCTCTCTCTTTTTCTTTTTCTTTCTCTTTCTCTTTCTCCTTCTCCTTTTTTCCCCCCCCCTCTCTCTCGCACTTTCGTTAGCTTTTCCTTCTCTCTCTCTCTTTCTCTATCTAGCGTGCGACGCGATGGGCGATGGCGCGCAGCGCTTCGAGCGCAGCGGAAGGCAGCGACAGCAGAGAACGCGGGGGGACCTGATCGAAACCAGGGGCTCCGCAGAGGGCAACAGGAGCCTGACAGGGAGGTGAAGGGGAGATGGGAACGTTCTGAACAACTTCGGCCTCGGCACGACCTGCAATCTGGCGCGAAACAACGAAGTAGTCGATGCAGCGCATGGCGGGCCAGGAGGTGCCCTGCTCGGGAGAAGCGATCACGGCGCCCGGCGCATTTGCCCGCGCCGTCTGGCGCAGGTCATCAGCCGTGAAATTCCAATCGCCACCGATGATGAAGGGCATGCCCGACGCCTTGAGCTGAGGACCGATCTCGGAGAGGATGGCCCAGTTCTGCTCGTCCATGCCGACCGAGTGGGCGAGGTGCGCATTCGCGGTGACGAAGCCACCGCGGAGCAAGCCACCAGCGCGATGGATCGACGCGCGAGCAGGCACCACTTGAGGATCGAAATGCTGCAACTTGGCCATTCCAACGCGCATCGCCGTGGCAGTGACCGGGCCCCCTGAAGAATTGCCGTGCGTTGGCCGAGCCGCGCGCGCAGAGGCCGCCCAGCCAGACTTGCGCATCTTGCTCCCCAGAGACTCGAAGCCAGGCTGCAAAATACGCGACTCCTGCGTGCGCAGAACGTCATGATAACTATCTTCGGACAGAAATGCATCGAGGCCGATTTGGCCTCCAACATTGGCAGTGATGACATGCCACTGCTTGGGGGGCTTGCCGCCGATCGCTCGACGATGAGTCGGGGTTGTCAAACGGGGTGGCTTTGAATTTTGCAAGAGCAGCATCGTTGAGTCCGCCGAGGATGTTGCCGCACTGCTTCCTAGAGAGACCCTTGGACTGCAGAGATTTATCCCGGCCCTCGTCCGAGGTGGGATGCTGAGGGAAGGGGGAGACATGCTTGGCCTCGGGCTGGCCGCCGACATTGCCCAGTGCACCTCCATCGCCCCCGCCCCGAGCCCCCCCCATCCGCTGGGCACGAGGGCGGCGGGCGCAGCGCCATCGGCAAAGGGCGAGGCTGCCGCGCCGAGGCCGTCTCCTCTAGAGATGGCTTGCGCGGCAGCCTCGGTCGAGAGCTCGGGCGACGGACGGGGCACTGGCTTCGGCCCAGGTGCATGGGCCATGCCGCTGTCACCCTCAGGCTCGCCATTATCGTCGCTCTCGCCGTCGGGCGGGGCAGGCTGCAATGGGCCGTCGCGGGTAGCCGTGAGCGAACGCAGGGGCGCAGCCAACTTGCCGTCGAGCGCTTCGAAGTGCATGAGAAGAGCGAAGCAGGGATCATCGGGAGAAACAGCGACGCGACCACGCTGGGCTGCTGGCCGCCCAACAGCCGAGCCGCCGACCGCGGCCCATGCCGCGGTGGCCTTCGCAGCGAGGACCCTCTCATTCTCCTGCAGCTGCTCGAGCTTGCCCTTGAGCACGACCGGCTCCCTGAACTTGTCCTGCACCTCCTTCTCAAGCTTGTCAGCCTTCTGCTCCGCCTGCAGCACGTCACGCTTCACCTCGTCGTATGCCATTTGTGTATGCCGAGCCATTGCCTTGGGGTCGCCGGCAGCCAGCGTGCGCTGAGCCGCGACGCGGGCCCGCTGGCTAGGTCCCAGGATGGATTTGGCGGATTCAAAATCATCAGTGGACACCTTGACGGACACATCGAGCTGCGTGGCGTCGAGCATCCTCGGCTTGGGCTTGGTGGCCTTAGGCGGCCCGTTAGCTCACTCACCTTGGGCCGGCCTCGGAGGAGGAGAGCCAGGCACAGGAGGACGCTCAGCACCACAGTTGTAGCAATGCTGCTTGACAGCGAAATTTGTCTTGAACCCGCACTTCTTCTTGGGACAACACCAGACATCACCGCGACTGACACTCACGAAAAAATGGGTACGCAAGCTAGCCTGACAGGCAGAGAGGCAGGAACCTGAGGGGGCCGCACATGCCCCTCGCCAGAAAGGTCAGGTCCTGAGCGAAACGCTACGGACTTAAGCAAAATGGCTACGGATATCCTCCTCCTCCTCCTCCTCCTCCTCTTTTCTCCCTCCTCCCTCCTCCCTCCTCCCTTCTTCGTCCTTCCTCTTCCGGCCTCCCTCCTCCCTCCTCCGTTTTCCCTCCTCCCTCCTTCCTCCTCCCTCCCCCTCCTCCCTCCTCCCTTCTCCGTCCTCCCTCTCCGTCTCCTCCTTCCTCCTCCCTCCCTTCTCCCTCCCTCCTCCCTCCTTCGTCCGTCCTCCCTCCCTCTTCCCTCCTCCTCCCTCCTCCCTCCTCCCTCCTCCGTCCTCCGTCCTCCCTCCCTCCCTCCCTCCTCCCTTCCCCCTCCTCTCCCTCCTCCCTCCTCTCTCCTTTCTCCACGTCCCTCCCACCATCAGGTACGACCAGCTCGAGGGCGCCGTGGCCACCCGCCGCCCGCGAGCTTCTCCTCTCCCCCCCGCCGCCCCCGAGGATGAGGAGGAGGAGGAGGAGGAGGAGGAGGGGGGGAGGAGGAGGAGGAGGAGGAGGAGGAGGAGGAGGAGGAGGAGGAGGAGGAGGAGGAGGTTAAAACCAGTCCACCATCTCAGGAGGTGGGGTAGCCAGAGCAACTAGGCCAGCGCAGGTTGACCGCGAGGCCAGAAAATGTGGGGGTCTCTGCTCGTCCCGCTCCTCATCCCGCCGTTCCCCCCCCCGTGTCTTCGCTTCGAACCCCCGCCCCGGCTCCCGCCGCCGCTGGCCTTTTCCCTCCCCAGACCTTCGACGATGCGCTGTCTTCTTGAGGCGGGGTCTCTGGAGCGCTGGACCACCGCCTGGGGACGGGCTTATCGTCCCAGATCGCTCCTCGGCGGTCCCAGAGCTCGGCGAGGGCCCCGTACAGGGCAAGTTTTAAGACATATGATTTTTAAACATATAGGATTTTAATACATGATTAATGTATGAATCAATTTATGCATGAAATTATCGTTTTTAAATGAATACTAAGTCCCTGCATTTTTATTACATGATCCGCACGCGGAGCATGTATTAAACACGGCACTGTAGCATAGAGGCCGAACCAGGGACGAGGCACCCCCGACTGGCTCTCCTCCGTGCCTTGGAGGCCTGGGCCCTCGCCCTCCCCAGCCGTGTCGGCGCGCGGGCACTCGGGGCCGCCCGGCGTGCGGCGCGCGCGGGCCATGCACGAGGGCTGGCGCCGGGGCGCCCCCCTCTACGGCGGCGCCCTGCTGTGCGACCTGCCGGGGTCCTTCCGGGACGCCAGCGAGATCCGGGAGGTTCGGCGGGTGGTCGAAGCGACGGACCAGGCAGTGCCAGAGGCAAGGAGAGGTTGCTTGCAACCCCACCCTGCCAAGTCGCTTCCCTTCGCTCTGGGCGTTCGCGCCGGGTATCGGGCCCCAGGACCAGGACAGATCGATCCTGCCCGACAAATACCGCAGGAAGATTCAGAAGGCGAAAACCTACCCCCCAGTCCTGACTCCCATCCCCGAGCTGGCGATTCAAGGGGTGGGACTGGGGGTGGTGGCGTTTTCTGCATGTCTTGGACCCCGAGAAACCACCCCCACACCGAGTCCCGACCCCCTGGATCGCGGGTTCGGGGATGGGGTCGGGACTGGGGGTGGGGGTGGGTTTTCGCCTTCCCACAGATGGGGTCCAGGGCTCGGGTCGTGATTTTTTCAAGGACCGACCACAACGCTGTTTAGCTGGGTTTTGGCCCTTGTTTTGTTTTACGTTTCCTTGCTCGTTGTATTCTCGTTTCGTTTTCGTTGTTGTTAATAACGCACCGCTTCCTCGTCGTTTTCGTTTGGCACCATTCGTTTTCCACGTTCGT